GGTCACCGTGCCACTGCTCAGGCTGGGATTACGTGCCTACAATTCTGATAAATTATTTTGCAACTGCAGCCTGCGACTGACGTGGTCCATTTTTGCCTGTTGCAAAACTTAGCAATCACCTGCTGTTGCGTTGATCGTGATCCACCACCTACTCTTCTAGGGGCAGCAGTGGCTGCAGTCCATATTGCTCCTTATGCGCACAAAACAATGGTGTGAGCAACATCAAACTCCTGGACCACAACTCTTCCTTCTTCCAGTTTCCCGGTGATTCTTCCTCGCGGGAATCCACCCTAGCGTTGTGTCTAATGGTAGGACTTGCTCCAATTAAGGGCAAAACTACACTCAACAGTAACTTCTTCCTGCTCAGTACACTCTCTCTTGTCTTGTCCCCCTCGCTCTGCCTGACCACTCCCTTTCATCCCTTTCAGCTCCAGATTGAAGCCGGCCGCAGGATATATGAGGCCCACTTTGACGCCCTTTGCATTATGCTTGCACAGTTTCATCCAATTCCATCTAATTGTTAATAAGTTAGGTCAATTTATCCATCTCGTCCTTAAGTTTTGCACACCAGTGTATATTCGTATAAGATTAAAGCATGAAAAATGCCGAACGTCTCCTTGAAAAGATGGTGCTCCAACATGTGCAGCACGGGGCCACACAGAGGCAAATCGGCCCGCTGCACAATGTGAGGCACTCGATACGCAATAGGTCAAAACCAGCAGTTCATGTCGGCCTATTAGAGCTAAGCTGTGAGAAAAATAGTGCGCGCCAATAGAAAGCACGTGACGCAGACGCACGCAGGTCACATTGGCGCATCTCTACATCAGGACAGCTGTTGCGGGAAGGGAGAGGGATCGGAGCGAGAATCTTTAAAAGGAGGAGGGGACGTTACTTTCTGAAATCGAACCAATGTGCCTGTTGACCCTATAGGATGGGGTATTTTGATATTATAGGTAAATATGCATCTTTCTTTCCTTGTACCTTCCATACATTTGGAGAGATTCCAGAAATGTTTTCTCAAAGCTTTCTCACATGTTCTTAAAAACAAATCTTTTTCTCCAAACACGACCCCTCCCTCTTTGGAAATCATCGAAATCAAAGAGTTGATTCTGCTCCCAGCTTTGACCCAGGTAACGTCTTCTGTCTCTAGCGCCGCCAACAATCATTCTATAAGCTTGTTTGCAACCTCGCGATATGGGTGCATTCGTGCGGCCGTTCAGGGAACTTCCCAGGAACTACCAAAGGTCAAATTGACCACGTCGAATGAGGAGGATTATTCGATTCCTGAGATCAATGAAAAGAGTGGAGTGAACAAAGTCAACAAACATCTTTTCCAAGGAGATATCCTCCTCACAGAGTGCGTGCTGGTGATCAAAACAAACTGATGGTCGATCGAATCTAGCAATCAATTTTTTAGGTCTCAAATTGAGGACATCAATAGGAAGATCAATGAATCAATCGGAGAAATCCAATCGAAAATCGAAAAATCTAACTGCTAGCCGCAACAAGCGTCAAGCAGTTACAAATCCATACAATCTGTGGACTCGCAGAATTGTGAGCTTCTACTTCGACAGTTCTGTTGGTGAGACAGGTTTTGTGTGATCGACGGAAAGACTGCAATATCTAAAATTGAATTCTAGATTGGAAGATCATCAGAGTTTTCGTGAAAGCAGCGATGCTGTGGCAGAAAGATTCATGTGTCAGTTTCTTATATAACCCTAGAGGTGAGAGCGGGATTTTTCGCGTAATTCCTTACGAGCACGTCCTCAGGATAGATAGTTGGTAGTGTAAGAACTTGATACTGAATGTAGGTGTGTAGTGTGAACCACCAGTTGGAAAAAAAGAAAGAGAAACCGTGAAGAACACAGAAAATGCAGAATGTCTTTGTTATACGATGAAAAGGAAATCAAAGGCGCGCGCCGAGGTCGCGCACGCTCACCTGTTCCATACTCGAGCGTAGTAGGATGGGTGGACAGACGTTGGTGTTGACCTTTTTGCGGGTCAAAAATGCGTGACAAAAGCGCTAGAAGCCTGCTCGACCCGCAGTCCATTCCTTCGTCCATGAGTCCTCCCCCACCCCTTCCGCGGCCGGTTGCCACGTTACGCTGCGAGAAAAGCGCAGGCGTAGTTGCGGCAAGGTGGAATGCAGCTGAACAGAGCAGTGCTTGATTCGAAGCGCGATCGGGTGTTTCTCTTGCTTTCTTTTTTCAAGACCATCCCCCTTTTCAAGCATCATTAGAGAGCGCTCTCCCACGCCTATTTTATCAATAAACTTGATTTCAAATCACCGAGATAAGAGGTATAGGACGTCAAGGTAGAAGAAATATTCTTTGGTACGAGAGAACTACCGATCACGGAGATGATAGTGGTGAGATGCTACCACGATCGACCAGAGTTTGACGTAATCCTAGGGCATCTTTTGCTGCGACGACACCCTGTATGTGAAATTAGGCAACAATGGTAAATAAGCGCTATCAACGGCATGATAAGGAACCGAGGCCCCATACGCATAGAAACGTCTTTCTCCGTCGTAATAGACAAGTTTCTAGCCGTATTTTATTTTCTCTACAACCGCAACATTTAGCACATGGGCTTTCATCACAAATCAGCATCACCTCATCGCGCTTCCTGCTTATATGGAAACTACACGTCACTTGAAACGAATTCGCACATCGGCTAGTTCTGAAAGCCGTTGGATAAGCCAGCCTTCATGGCACTATGACTCTGTCGTGATGCGTTCTCTCAGGAGAGGTCAATGTTCAGCAAATCCATTCTAGTTTCCCAGTTTCAGGGATATTAGCTCAGCGAGTCATGGAAAAAGAAGTGCCGTACCTCGAATTATACATAGACGCCGGCTTATTCCCGGGTCGAGTTGAATTCCATAGTTTGAAGATCAGAAGTTTTGAATAGTATGAGTTTAAGGTATTAGCAGATCAAAAGAGAGCGTGAAAAGATTAGCTGCTCATTGAATAGGCCTTACTGAAAACTTCTTACCTGTTCTTTCAACCCCCGAATCAATATGTATCCAATCTCTTTAGCTAGATGTCCTGGCATTTTAATCTCCCAAATCAGGGTGGGTAAGCACGTTCTGGGAGACCCATTATAACCGCTTCAATATTTAGAATTGGCTACTCTCCTGGAGAAAATTGAGAGCACTACTTTTAGCTAACGATCGGATCAAAGTGATGAAAGGGCAGGGTTGCTTGGCAGCAATAGGGAAAAACGGAGGTGAGCAGCTATTATCGCTGGGACAAGGATGTGATTCGGTCAGTATTGCCGCTCATGAGATCGGCCATGCACTCGGGCTGTACCACACTATGTCCAGGCACGATCGTGACCAGTTCATTATAGTGGACATGGCAAATGTTGAGGTAACTGCATTTTTGGAAATGAGAATATAATAGGCAATTCTGCTAACTATTACTAAAATGTGGTACTATATTTGCAGCCTTACTACCGTAACCAACTATTGCACCACAACTATGCACAAACATTTGGTTTGCCCTACGATTACGGCAGTATTATGCACTACAGCGGATCAAGGTTGCCCATGACTCAGAACGCTTTTTAACGGTTTTGAAAATGTTTTTGAAGTGTATTTGTTGTGCATACAATGGATGTGTGTCGCTTTGTCAAGAGTCAGGGGATTTGCGGGATATCGCATAACCGAGTCCTGCGTACCGCACGTTTAAAGCTGGAAACTTTGTACGGCCTCGCGGCTTGCAAATTTCCCGCATATTGGGGTGCAACTCTGCGGGATCATCTTTTATTCGCTCATTTGCGCTTTGCCTTTCATTTTTAACTTGCTGCTCTTCCCGACCTTTCAGCAATTTGATCATATCATAGCCAAGCAATACGCAAGAACAGTGGGCGGCTGCGTGTGTTGCAGCTGTGTGAGGCATTTATCAGGCTCAGCGGAAATATTCTGATACGTGCCTCACAAGAGACCTGTCAGCACGGTCAGCACGAACTGCACTGAACGCATTTGCCGCTCCGCAGGTCAGATGACCAATATAGTGGGGTCACGCTGGCGTAGTCGTCTTGATAGGCTGATTCAGCTCCCCGCACTACTAATCGTATACGTTCTAAGCGACGACGCGCACAACCAATGCAGTCCGGTTCAAGCACACGCTGCGCCTGTCGCAAAGTCTGACGTCTGCGACAGTGCGCGAGCAACGTATCTTTTGGAATATTCCGTTTTGAAGAGATACTCTCGTCTTCAGCTATGTTTATTGACAGCGTGTCGATCAATAAAATGCAGCCAGCGATGATGGCTTTCGATCTTGACCATCAACAAACTCTAGGATCACCGTTCGTCTCCTTCATTGATCTGTCAATGATTAATGAGCTTTATGGATGCAAATGTGAGCAGATAGAGCAACTATTTTTCGTAGTTTTTCACA